ACGCTCATCCTCAGAAAGCCTGAACCTGGTCGTGCAGAACATTGGTTGGACATTTTTGGGCAGACATTCGTTGGACTTCAGCAAGGGACTACTTTGAACTTTGCTATTACGATCTAAGTCTTCTCCCTTGCTTCCATCTTCGTCCTTCCTTCCCCCCCTCCATCTCTCATCCGTGGTATCTCCCCATGTGTGTATGTAGGAGGGACCTTCGTCTATGTATGCGGTCCCTTCCCTCCCTCTCACATGTGTGATGTATGATGGGATGTCGTAACAGTCCAGGTCCGGGCAGAACTTACCTCCAAGTTTTCCGCTGTGCTATTAAATGCCATTGTTCATGTATCAGGATGCACACTGTCTGTTGATAGTACGTTAGCAGTCCATTGTCCATTCAGTCATTTTCATCACAATGCGGATCCTTGGCTGAACTCTCAGTGTTCGACTGGGCATGTAACAGTGTGTGTGTGCGCGTGTGCCGGGGGAAGGGGAGCCCCCACCAAAAACTGATTGTGTGTGTGTGTGTGTGTGTGTGTGTGTGTGTGTGTGTCTGACGAGCATTATGGAAGGACTACCCCCCAAGAGCATTGACTGTTGGTTCCTTGTCAGTGCCCACAACTTTCCTGCTGTCCCGAGGAATGTGATTAATCGTATTTTTCATTCTGCCGTAATGAATGAATGTTTTGATGTGGGGATACAAATATGCAAAATATGATGGTCCCCCCCCCCCCCCTTTGATTCAAATATTGAATTACTATCAGCCTGCATGGCCACATTTTCTTCGATTCACCTTAAGTTTGTTTTGGAGATCTATCCCGTTTTTATTCATTATGAACGAGTTGGAAAGTCCTTGCCAGGACCTCATCTTCCTCTGCTGTTGCTGATTGGGAATTTCTGGGTGTGTTTGGTGTATATCCTTGTCTTCGACATTACGCGTCACGGTAATGGAACGTTTTTGGGCTTCGCTCTTTCTCTATCATTGGCTGTCATTTTTGTAGTGCAACCTCCTTGATGCAATGTCGCTGAGTGGCTCTACTGTAGTGATGTTCATAGAGAGCGAATTATGGCGCAACATGCTGTGACGTGGTCGCAAAATCCAAACATTAAAATGTAAAACCCATGCACACACACACACACACACAGGGACACACAGACACATGGACACGGGATACATTTTGTGGTTTCCAATCTTCTCATCCCTTCAACATCATGATATGTTTTCTTATGTTCTTCACTTTGCGTCGGTTGTGTTTTCTTCCTCTGTGTTCTCCTTTATCTCCAAGTGCAGTCAAGACCTTAGATATGTGCCCAAACACTGCCAATTTGCCAAATAGTCAGTTGCCATTTGTTACAACTTACAAGTGCCATTGCCTGTAGCACAAGGACAATGCATCCTTGAGCAGAAGCCATGCTAATCTTCACTGTATCATTTCAATTTTAACGCATGTCCCTGAGGACATTGGAATGTTTTTTTTTTTTTTTTTTTTTCGTTTCTTTTTAAGGAATCGGCCCGACTTGCTGATAGGGGTGATGATACAAGCAGGCACCTCTAGCACTCTCAGCGGCTCCATATCTTCATAATAGCTGACTGTTTGGATAATCGCATTGACATTGCTTGCAACTCCACGCTCGTACATGTGTGTGTGCTTGTTCGTCTTCCGTCGTCAACAGTGACTTCCATTGTACTCACTTCGTCCTTGTGGACCAGAGGGTGTCACAATTGTGTACCTCCCAAGATCGCCAATCGTCATCGTCATTGTTCGACAAAGGTAGGTAAAGGTGGCTCTCACACCCTCTCTCTAAGTGGCCTCCGCCTCCACCTGTTTGTCATTGTCGTCATCATGCATGTTGATTGATTGATTGAGAGAGAGAGAGAGAGAGAGAGAGAGAGAGAGAGAGAGAGAGAGAGAGAGAGAGAGAGAGAGAGAGAGAGAGAGAGAGAG